GTAATGGGTCTTTTTTGAATCATTATTACTTACCCATACTGTCCGAACCACAGCATACGTGTTCCTGGGTCAAAGGATTTAGGGTACATTGATAGTTCCTTGGGCAATTATTCTGTAGAGCAGTGTTGCAGAGGAAAGGAGTATTGGTGTTTGGATCCTAAAGTTTGATGTGTTGAAAGGCAAAAAGACTCAAATGCTTAAACTCACCTTATAAACAGCATCTCCTGACTTGCAGCCAGCGCTCAAACAGAAGTCCTCACATTCTATACGAGATTTGAAAGAGTTTAGGGAAGTATCGCAACCATTTGATGTGTATGATGAACAGGTTTTCAAGGCATAATTGAAGTAGTACCTTAAGCAATGTGGACGCTTAACATGCATCTTTGGCATGGAAATTAGGGTATAACGGACTTACTTAGTTTGTCCAGTTGAAGTGCCACACTTGGGAAGCATACCCATCTGAGGAGGTTTTGTACAAATTGAAGCTGTAACAACAAACCATTTTCTAAACAAAACTGGTCAACTACTTCTTTTCCTCAACTGAGAAACTGGCCAGGACTTTCCTCCCGTCAAAAAAAGGATTAGTTTTTAGTTGTCGAAAAAATCGCGAATATCTTGCTGTTTCATTGTATTGTCTCAAACAAATAAAACAAACAAAATCAATCAGACAAATAAACTACATATGATGATCGGGTCTTACTCAAAGTCATAATACTGCCTGAAGATCTGATGGATTAGTAAGGAAAACTAAGTAATTTAGTTATCTTGCTGCAGCCAATGGGAAATTTAATTTATAGGAATTTCATTATTTATTGGAAGAGCGAATTTTCAAGATTGGAAATAATTGTAGAAGATGTGTTAGCTGAAAAAGAGCATGGTCGTACCAATATGGCTTGCGAATCCACAGATGAGATTTATGCACTTTTGCTTTCGTATTTTTTCGTTCCTTCGAAGTTCGTTTCTTTTTTGTTATAGTTTTTCCATTAAACTTTAGTGCACTATGTGTTTTATTTAATAGTTGTGTGGGCTACATATGAAGTAGGTGAGCTATCA